ACACTGTATAATAACTGTTGAGCCTGCAACTCTGTTCCTGGACCAGTATTTAAACACCTTCAATACTCCAGAGGAAGGGAGGAGAGCTGCTTTCCAAAGGAGACTAATAGCAACCTGTAGCTGTGGATAGACTGTGATAATCTCCAGTTAACTCTTCCAATTGCCAAATTACTCTCTTACCAATGTTAAGTCATGTTCCTGCAAAGAAGTCACCGAGCCTCACTGCCCCATTACATCTCTTAGTGACTTTGCTCCTGCTGACTTTCCCTGGCCTGAGAGGGTCAGGGTTTCCACCTGCAAGATGGCCTAACCCAAGCAAACCCACTCCCTGCTGTGGCAAAGCTGATTGTTGTGATCCATAATCATCCCTAATCCCTGTGGCTGATTCCCCTGATTACATGTCAGAACAGGAGTGCAACCTATTTAAAAGAGGCTGTTTTCAAATTGGCAGCACGTCCTTTGATTAGTTAACATATGCAGGTCTGACACAAAAAGTGGCTCTGAAATGTCTCTGGGCTGTGGCATAGGAAGACAGCATATATCTGTCAGGGTAACACTTGACTCTGATTGGGCTGTTTGCCCTATTTTCTCATTTTTTGGCTGCTCTACAGATAATAGGACCCCTCCAGAGCAGAGGAAGCCTGGCATCGAGGCAGGATTCTTTCGAGTAATACATGGCTCTGGTGGGTATTAATCCTAGTAATTTAGACAGGTGTATGCAAGTCAGCCTGGAAACTAAATACAGATTTCCAAATCAAAGGCTTAGTTTGTATAGCAGCATTTTCTGAAATGCAGAGCCTGCAGTCTCACTGCAGTGATGAGGTTCATATCAGGGAAAAAAAAACCAACACAAACAAGAAATTATTAATGTTGGGTTTTGAGGATCAAGTAATTGGTCAAAAAATATTTACAGAAACATTTGAGAAAAGCTTGAGGCTCTGTAATTATTTCAGCACAAAATCCCTATGTTGGTTTATCCAAATATTACTGAACACCAAAACAGGTCCCAGCCACAGCTAGGATGGAGCTGACACACCAGGTTCATTCCTAACTGTTAATTTATCAGAGTAGCTTGATTTCTTATATTTGTAAGCATGACTTGTGTTTTTAGGCACCACATCAGATCACAGTTACATCTCATCTGGTGTCAACACTTTACTTCCTGTTTTTTCTCAGATGTGTCGTGGTGGGGAAATTTTCATGGTCTTTACTCTCCCCTTATTTCTTATTCCTCCTCTACTAGTGTCACCATGCTGATTTGTCTTTTCCTCATGCTGTAATTGGTCTGGTGCCACTGTGTAATTTTTAACTGTGTGCACTATCAACAGTTTTCCATCTGTCTCTCCTCCAGAGCTTCCCAGCCTGCCATAATAAATATCTGCCAAATCCTTCTCCAAAGAGAGGATCACCAGATTCCAACTGTTTGCAAAATAAGAGCCACTGCCAAAAATCCTCTCCCACTGTCTGCAACCTGTGCAGAACATGTTCCTTACACTTTCTGAGATGTTTCTGCTAGTGCTGAGGAGCTCTGACCACTGCATGTATTTCACTGTCCCTCAGAGCCATGCCCTTCTGCAGAGGGTTCAGCATATCGATCCGTTTGCTCACGTGTCTCATTATGTGTGACATTTTATTAGAAAATAACCTCCAATAGCCATCAGGTAATAAAACCAAAATAACTTGAGGTTTGGGTTTTTTCCCCCCTTTAAAATGCAGTTCTGATTTTGAACATGCTGTGGGCTGGATCGGTTCCAGTGTTGTTTTATAAGATGTTTTACTTGACCTGGAAGGGACTCAGAGTTCATGCCCCTTTCCCAGCCTGTCACGCACAACCTGAGGGCCAGTTGCCACCATCTAAAGGCAGAGTAACTGGTAGGACTTGCTGACTGTACATCTGAGAGCAGAGTTTGATCTTCTACCCCTTTATACATCAGAATAGATCATTAGAAGAATTAGCACCAAGCCAGGCTTGATTAGATTGTGCATACCACAAAATAGCAATTTTCAAAATTTGGATAAAATAAAATAACATATAAACACATTTGGATAAAGTAAAAATAAAGGTTGTGGTCTAGGTGCCCTTTTAATGCTGTTAAAGCCGTTCTCATAACAGTCCTTTCATTCCATTGATTCAAAGCTGTGTTAGGCTCATGTGGCTTTTGAAGTTCAGTTGTACCTCAAGGGATGATCATTGCATGTGTTAGTGTTTGGCGATGAGGAATTACCAAGGAATCTCTTTAGGTGCTGCTGCAGACATCAAATGAACACTAAATGTAGGTTTGAATAAAGCTCTTGCCAGCTAAAGTCAGATCCAAGGAAAAAAGGTTCCTGTTCTATCTTTGGGATATTGGAATATGTTAGCAGAAAGGTTTTTCAAGGTTATTTCAGGAGAGGGTTTCTCATTCAGATCTGCTACATCTTCATTCTGAAGAGCTTTGCAAGGAAACATAAGGAGTCTAAAGCAGCTTGAGGGTTGGATCAATCACCCTTCCACTCTACATGCAGAATAACCCAGTATTTCCAAGAGAAGTGGACACCATACTTGTTTGTCATGGGCATCGACCATGAGGACTGTGGCTAGAGAGTGTTTTTCTATAGATAAGCAAAGGGAAGCACCTGAAGCACCAAAGAAATGTGGGAGTTTGTTTTGTGATATATAGTCAGGTTCAAAAAACACTGGTATTTTCATTGCCTAGATTGCCCTGTGGATTTGCTGTCCATTTTAGGACAATCAAGTTGATGATTTTCTAGGAGGCTGCACTACCACTTAATAATACATTATGACAGGAGAGAAATGTGTATGAACAAGTCTAAGCCTGCAGGACAGCTGTCCTTACTCCCGAATGAATAATATCCACAGCCATTGCCAGGGGTGGCAGGAAGCAAATAGAAAAGTGAAATTAGAGAGACCAGAGTATCCTGGCAGTGATGTCCTGACTGCCTGGTGTGCTGAGCAGGGCTCTGGGTCTAGCTGTGCTTGCAAGATTGAGATCTAGCCCTTATTCAACTCTGATTTTCTGGAGTGAGATTTTCTTGTAAAGGAGCAGCCATGATTTGTTTAAAGTCTTTGGGAGATAAAAAGCAGATGGCATTGATTAGCTAATTAGTAATATTTTCTGCAATTTATCAGATGTTCTGATACGTGTTAAGTTTGCAAAATCTTGGGGTGAATCTTTCTGTCTTTGTTTTGTTGAAGAAATCGACTAATTTAAAATCTGGAGGGGAGGGAAAGTTACATACAAATGTGTCATTTTCTGCCCAGCAGAAATATGTCAATCTTTTCCTTTGCATATTCATGGCTTATTTCTTCATTTTTGAGGGCAATGTGCACAACTTGGTTGCAGCTCTGCTAACTCTTGTCTTGATTGCATGGTGAGACGTGCCATAGGTCTCTGGCTCTCCCATATTTCTCTTTGTGGATTTGCTCCCTCCCCTTTTCTATTTATTATGGAGACAAAGCAAAATAGTATGTTTTTTACTTCATGCCCAGCTCACATTGAGCTTGTCTCCATGTGAACCCTTTTTCAGCCACAGCAGCTCCCTAGCAGAACTTCTGCCAAGCATTGGCCACCTCTGTGACTGACCACTGCTATGACAGTGGTCAGGGCTGTTTTGGCCAGAGCATCACTGGGGTGTTTGGGGCTCCTCTGACCTTGAGTTATATTGGACACAAGTCAATTATCTCGATGTTGTCTCTAGGATGATTGTTCATCATTTAGGGTGAGACAGAGTACCTTGCCAAGATATTAATATAAAGAAGAAAATCTGAGAAAGGATATCAGCCTTTCAGACCCTACCATTTGCGTGGCAAAATCTTGATATAGCCAAAAAACATGAGACTTACCTGGTTTCTCCAGCAATGTGGATACAGGAGAGCTTGGGAGCAGACACCAGTCCTGGTAATCAGGAGGGTGGGTGGATGCAGCTTCAGGTTCCCAACAAGCCCTGTAATTAGGACTTACTGCAAATTCTCTGGAGGTTTGAGCTCTGCATCAGCACCACCCCAAATCCTTTTAAGAGACAATGTCCTGGTGCAGAAGCTGTATTTTAATTGTCAGTGTGTGGCATGGTTGACACATGAGCTGTCAGCTGGCCACCTGTGATAGCAGGGAATGAGAAAGAACTTTGTTTTCCTCTTCTGGGGAACCATCTTCCCTTGCTGATGCTCTGCAGAACAACTTTGCAGTGCTTATCTACCGTTTCAGTCTTCAAAACAGGGCATGATGCAGATTCAGCTGGGGCCCAGGCATCATACTGGTCACTGGCTGAGTTGTGCTCCATTCAAACACCATCAGGACTGCAAATTGCCTGAAGTGAGACAGAGATTTTCTTCTCTAGTCTATAGAGCTTTCTGTTTTCCATGGAGTTTATTGTTGAAGCTTTAGCCTTTCTATTCCCATCAGAATGACACTTTTTATTGGTTCTTAAAGTGAAGAAACAACAAATTCTGCATCCTCTGTAGAGCACAGTCTTGTTAATGTTCTTTGAAACATGATATGTGTCGTGGCCGTCAAACTGCAGTGATCCCATTTCATCTGAAATAAGAAAAACATGTCAATTTTGGCTCTAAGTAACACAAAAAGGCGAGTCATGTTTTCGATAGGAGCAGCATGGCTGACAAAGACGAAAGCAAAATGTTATTGCTTTTGGAAATTTCATAATTACAGATAATGATAACTTAATTAAATGACATTGTCTTCACTGCTATCACTGATGAGATGTTTGAGACTGATAAAACAGATCTTGTTAAATAGAGCAAGTGTCTTTAGTGGAATAGCTTTGTGACAGCAGCCTGCAAGCACAAGTCCTGGATTCCTATTTTTGGTTACAGTAGTTTAAAAAAGAAGATAAAATGAAGGCTACATGGCAAATAATGCACCCATTTCTTTAAAGGCCTTCCATTAAGCAAGCAATACTGAACTCTTGAATAACATGCTGGTGACTGAACACTGCTCCTTAGAAATGCTTCATTCAAACACTTCCCTTGTTTTTCTTTGCAGACAAACCAGAGAACAAGAAACCCCGCCTGACTTTTTTTATTTCTCAGACTATGAAAGACATAATGCGGAAATAGCAGCATTTCATTTGGACAGGCAAGTAAAATGGATTTACATTAAAAGAAAAGTGGAAATATTGTGATAAGTTCCTGCACTTGGCCAGCCCTGTGACTGAGTTTCTTTCAAGAAAGGGGAAAATGGAACAAAGGTGGGAAAACACCATCAATAATGGAAATAGCAGGTGATGAAAGAGTAGATTAATAATTAGCAAATGCAACTTGCTGTGGGAATTAGAAAGCTGGCAAAAAGTAATTCTCAAAAAGAAATTCTATTGAAGAGAGGCTGAGAAATTAATTCCCCCTGTGATCCTGAGGTACATATGGAACTTAATTCCCTGGGAATATGTTGCATAAATGTGACAGGAATCTGTCTCCTCCGGTTGGCTTCAGGGCACACACATCCAAGCGAGATGTGGGGAATGGTGTGAGTGTTCAGAGAGGAATGATTAAGGTGGGGAAGGAGTTCTGGCTTCACAGCAAAAAGTTGGGGCTGTACCATATGAGGAATGCATTTGGGCCACAAGTTGTTGGGAAGGAGAGGGCAATGGTGGTCATCCCATGCTCCTGTTAGCTGAAAATGTCCCCCCAAGGCAGAGTTAGTGCAGGGTATGGTAGATGTCCCAAGGCTGGGAAGAGGCTGCAACCATTTCAGCCTGCAGATTAGGAGCAGGAATTAGTAGTTAGTGATGAATTATTAACAGTATGGCTAGAAACCAAATGCATCTTACAGATGGAGCTAGAACTGAAGCATCTTTCACACCCTGAACTGCCAAGAAATATCTTTTCAAAAGCTTGAAGATTTGAGAACACAAATTATTTGGGGCTGCATGCAGAACAGCTGCCTTCTGCCTCAATGACTAGAATAAGGGTGGCACAGGGTGGATTTGCTTTAGGAACCATCCTGGTCTGGTCTTTCAAGGATAAAACAATTATTAAGACTGTCAGGAAAAAAAATAAGAAAAAAAAATTAAAATTAGATAGTGTTTCCTCAAGTCACTTAAAAATTGCTGATCAAAGGCATATTATAACAAGCTTGAAGTAGCACAAGGTAAAAAATAAGTTTCTACTGTCTCTTATTTCTGGAATTCTATGTGTCTTCATTTTTTTTATGGAACAATATGTCCCCATACTCTTCTGTATTTTGCATCTGCTCCATACTGTGTAGGCAGGTCAGAACTGATTATATTCAGGACATATTTTGTAATATATTATACAAAGGATTATCCAGTTTAAAGTTGATGGGCTTTTCACTCCTTAAAGACCACAGATAAATGTGCCTTCAGAGTGTAATGAACCTTCCTAAAACCTATCACTATGGTTATATATTATTCCTATCCATAAACTCTCTTCTCTTTCTCCTCCAGGATCCTGGATTTCCGTCGTGTTCCACCAGTTGCAGGCAGACTGGTTAACATGACGAGAGAAATACGAGATGTGACTCGTGACAAGAAACTGTGGAGAACGTTTTTCATCTCACCAGGTAGTCTTGGAAATAAAACAAAAAAAACTGCTGAACACGTACTTAAGGGAACGATATGTAGATTGCTTAATTGCTCAGATGTTTCTAATAGAACTGTCTTCTAGACCTTTGAATAAAAATAAATGTGGAGACATAGCCTACAAAGAAGACTTTATTGTTTTGAATTGAGTGCCTTTTCCCCTTGACAAATTATCCACAGAGACAGGCTTTTATGTTCACAAAAGCAATGTATTCAGCAAATGTTTTATGTAGAGCAATTTCTAAAGCAATTTCTTCTGTTACTTTCACTTTACCCAAAACCTTATTACTTAGCCCATTAGTTATTTAGACTTTTTTTTTTTTTTTTTTTCCCCACTGCAATGTGGTCCATCACTTCTGTTGGTCAGATGCATTTATTTCTAGGTCTTGACTGGAGGACCAAAACCTTATTTTCTCAGTCATGTACTTCAGTTCTTACTACAACAGGAATTTGAGAAAAAAATCATGCAAATAGATGTGTAACATATCCTGCTTCCAGCTCAAATTCTCTGCTGGGCAGAGGCCAGAGCAGAAGTGACCTGAATTGTTCCCAGTCCTCATTCTTGCTTTGAGGGCTCACCCCAGGAACCAATACCACTCTCCATCACTTTTCACTTTTTCACAACATCTGGCAACTCCAGCCAAAGATGGAGCTCCACATGGTGGGAATTTTACAAACACATGGTAGAACCATGCCCTGCTCACCAGAATATACAACTGGAATAGGTGAAGATGGGCAAAGGGTGAGACAAGGCGGTAGCATCTCTTTTCAGCATCTGGGATGCTGAGGTGGATAAATTAAGGTTGTGAGTTAAGGCACAAAAATACCTACTGAAGTGTATTCCTAGAGAAAGGCTATATTAGGGAAATGTTCAATTGAAAGCATGTTGCTATGTTCCAGTGAGCTTAACTCATATTATTTCAGCTGCGTGCAAATGTGCTTTGCTGAACTTGGGCTGTGGCTTGTGTAACAGGCAATCTGGAGCAGAAACCTCTGGAGATCTCTCCCTAGCTCTCTGTGTGATTGGCCAGAAGCTGTTTATCCCAGATCCCTACAGTCAAGATCCAAAGACTTAATTACAGTTTCTCCTGATGTAACTGTAATTTCTCACTGGTAGCTGGAAACCAGAGCCCTGTCATTGCAGAGCTTTCTCTCTTAAAATATTTATCACACTTCTGTGATCACCAGTGAAGTAATTATCATGGCTGTTATTTTTAGCTTCATATTTGTGTTCAGCTCTGCATGACATAGTTGAGCAGACAGTAATTTCACCTCAAATACCTGACATAATTGCAAGAGGTTTCCTCTTACTCCACTTCCACCTGTGCAGTCGTGGTGAAAGTGGTGTCAGTACATGGTGACAATGTTCACCAAACTTGATGTGTAAACACTTCTGCTTGCTCCAGCCAGGCACTTGTGTCTCAGTAACGTTATCTCCTTCTTTGTTTACAATTTTTTTTGCCTGATTTTTTTTGTAGGCAAAAAAAATCTTGTGCTTGTTCATGCACACAAGGTGGTTTGGCCCATTTGAAAATGAAACCATTTTATTCCTATTTTAGCGAGTAAGACATAGATTACTTGTTTTTTGTTGCTTTTTAGTCTTCCCAAGTTATAGATCAAGGCTTAAGGGTGAACTTGAGTGATTTCTGAGAATTACAGAACTGTACTGAAGTACTGAGCAGCTTACAGCAGCCAGAGCACAGCAATGCACTTCAGGCTGTCAGTTTGGATGAAGATCTTTATCTTGTCATTATGAAATTCCAGACATCCAAGGGATGATCCAAGCATAATCCTTTATTCAAATTTATTTAGAGGCTTCAGATAAATTAAATTAAAATATTTGATTAACTACGTATCAGGCTTTTCTGGAGAATAAAATGCTTAAGCAATTAATTTTTCTTTCAGTCTTACATTTCCTAAATCAATATACTTTGCTTAAATCGTGTTGGTTACTTGTCAGAGTTCTTCCCAACAAGTCCCAAGTTTAATTAGTTGGATTCTTATTAACATATCCCCAACCTCTGTCTTGTATTTCGTAGTGACCCTAAGACGCAGGCGTTAATTAATGCTTAATGAAAAAGTAACAAAGGTCCTAAGTTAAGTATTTGGAAACAAATTCACACACCTAGCAGGCAGCTCAAGCAGCAGATTAAGGGCAGAAAAGGGAACCCACATGAAGCTGTGGTGGCCCCTGTGGGTCTCCCCTGGGGGTGGCAGTCCCATCTCCATCCCCAGCAGTGCTCAGTGACAGTGGGATTATGGGGGCACATTGTGTCTGCTGGCAACGTCTCGCTCTTTGTGCACTCCTATACATCTCTTAAAATTAAACAAGAGCAAAATATAATTGATTTTATGCAGAGTTCTTCTCCGGGGGCTGGGAGACCATTGTCTGCAGTGGAAACACTTTAGAAGGGAAATATGGACAATGCTCATCAAGACACCCTGTTTTTTTCTGCACTGCTGTGGGGATGTGTCAGAAGAAACCTCCCTACATTCCCACTTGTCCCATGAGGCATGGAATGGGGGTCTCTTACTGCCAGGAAGCTGCAGGCAGATGTAGCTTCAGAGCTCACTGAGGAGCAGCATGGCTTTTTCCCCAGGAAGGTGGGAATGGCTGAGAGCAGGCTGGTCAGCCCATGCTTTAGGCTGCATTCAGAGAGAAAGCAGATTGCAGAAAAGTGCACTTCCAGGCAGTTTGGACTCAACATGAGAAATGGAATTAGGTCAGTAATTATTTAAATTAATTTTGCATCCTTTGCAGTAGGGCAGACTGCAGTAGCCCTGCTACTTTTACAAATGAATGGTAATTTGCTTGGAAAAAAGAGACATATTAATGATGTCAGCCTTCATTTTGGAAGTAATTGAGGCAGCAGCTTAAAGAAATCAATGTTACACAGCTAGTAAGCATCGTGGTTTTGTTCATATTAACCAGTTCCAAGGGATTATGGATTATTTTTTTTTCCCCTCTAAGCAAACAGTAGCAATTCTGAATTAGCCATTATTCTGAGCAGGTAAAAGAAAGATCTTTTCATTCATTGATTCAGGATTCTTTCCAGTACTCCAATTGCACAGGATTCTATTAACAGTCCTCTATTAACAGTCATGCAAATCTCAATAAAAGAATTGCTCTGCCAAGCAATTTGCTTTAAGGTATCTCCACTTATTCCTTTTCTTCCTGAGAGGGATTATTGTTCAGCTGTTGGGACAATGCACAGAAAATGTGCAGATGAGCACACAGACACTCTGGTTCTTAATTGTTGTAATTAGGTGGAGTTTAGATCTCCAGACCATGATTTTTGCATGGATTTCATTATGAATTGTATCCATTTCTCCTCAGATAACGAAAATTAGACATTTGCAATGCTGCTTGGGATTGAGTCTCTTGCCTCTAGTGCTTTGGGGAAACAATTTGGATTTTAATGAAGAAGGAGTTTGCATGTTGCAGACTCACAGCATTTGAACATTTCAGCATGTATAAACATCCCTCCTGTTCTGCTTTGCCAGCACTGCTGCTGGTGCTGCTTCTGCCCACTCTGCAGGAGCACAAATTTCTGCCAGTTGCTTCTTTCACACGTGTACTTAGGAAGGGGGATCTGTACAGAAGCACCTGTGTCTTCTGAGAGAGGAACATACGGGCTGGGCAATTTTAATGAGAGGAGGACAACATTCCAATTAGAGCTAATCTCCCTTTTCCCTTGGATTTTTGCCTTCCAAAGGCCAAACTCTGCTCTTGGCATGGGATTGCTGGCGGAGCACTGGGCTCGTGCCTCTAGCTGGAATTTCACCCTCAGCCTGCTGTGCAGAATGTGGGTCACCTACTTAGGTTTCAAAGAGGCTTGCTACTGCACCTTGAAGTCTGAATTGAGAACTGTGCTTTTCTATCTTTGGTCCTTTTTTATTTTTCTTTCCTAAGGGTTTTAAGAAACCTTAAAAATTAATGTTTCCCCAGATAGTTCAGGTTGCTTCATTTCACTGCCTGTATAGAAGACCTAGGGTAGGCATAACAGGATGTCTATTCTGTATCAATCAAAGCAGTTAATTTCTTTAATATTTGCTTGAGGTACATTGTCCTTTCACCTCCACTACCCCTAGAAATAGGACAGGAGCTGTGGAGAGCAAGTATCCCAGTTCTGATCCCAGAAGAGAATGGCAGCTGGCAGAAAAAGCTTTGCCACTGAAAGTAACTTCTCCCTGAGAAACACACTTGTGTTTTTCTCCTACCATCACTTGGACAACTGGACTCCTGTTGTGAGTGATGGGGGCTCTGTGGGAAAGTCAATTGCTGGAGGAGAGCAGCAGGAGTGGGGGTGAAGGGCCTGGCATGGTGCAGCACACGTGCTGGCTGTGTCACTGCAGCAGTAAATGCCATCACTGCCAGAGCCTCCAAGCTTGCCTGAAGATTTATCTGGATACAAATGTGTGATTACTGTCAAATGATTAGTCCCAGTTGCTTTCGTTGACAATACAGAGTGGGGTTTCATTGTTCCCAAAGTTAAATTCAGAACCAAACTATTAAACACAGTATTTATCTTCCCACTGTGCAAAATGCTGTGTTTAATATAATTCCTTTTTTGAAAGGTCAGATTTACATAGTGAGCCACAGAGTCTGTGATAGCATGGGAGGGGCATTGCTGGGCCTTTTGCACTTTACTTAACAGCTACAGTGGCAGATAACAGAGTATCAGTGTCCCTCTGCCAGGTGGTGGTCAGGTCATAGAAACCCTGGAAGATAAACTGTCTGAGGCCATCAAGATAAATCTGCATAGGTTCCCTCCTTCCCCAGACAAGAAGGTGATGCTGACACAGCTGTGCTGAAGCACAAGCCCCATTGCAGCATCAGATGGCAGGAAACATAAACCCTGGCTGCAGCAAGGGGACAGCCCTGCATTCCCTCCCAGCTGCAGGCACCCGAGAACTAGGGATCTTTTTCCATCTCCTAACTCCCCTGAGCTGGCTGGCAGGAAGCAGCATCAGTACATGACTTCTTGTCAGTCACCCCTTGTGGCAGCCTGCAGCCCCTTTAAATATTTTCCTGCAATTAACTTTTTAGGGGTATAAATTGCAGATGTTTTTCCCCAGTTTTTATTGTTGAGAATATCCCAAAATTCCTAAAGGCCCAGTAGGATGCTCCTGCTTGCAGACTGTCTGCAGCTGGCAGGGCTGCCCTCAGGTGCTTGGACAACTCTTCACTTGTATCCTGAATTATTGAAGAAGCTCACAGGAAGGCATAAAACCTTTCCTGGTTTTGCCAGGATCATCAAAGGAGAAGTTCAGGCACCTGTGTTTGCTCTGCAAAAGCTATGCCAAGTCCTTGCTGCGACAGCATTTTTGAAAAGGAAACTCCTGAGAGCTTTTGCACTGCAGGGCAGCGTGCCCAGGGCTGGCATCAGGTTGGATTGGTCTAGATGTTGACTTTACACTTGATTTTAGACTAATAAAATGAGTGAGTCTGAAGGAGGGTCACTGAGATGGTCCTGGAGCTGGTGTGTCTGGTGTACAAGGAGAAGCTGAGGGTTTCAGATTTGTTAAAGCTGGACAAGAGAAGGCAACGCTAGTCTGACTCTGATGTTAGTGCTGGACTGAAGATGTAACTTGAACCACAGGCTTCCAGAGTCCCTTCCAGCCCAACTTTCCCTAGCTGTGATTGCTCTTTTCCCATGCAAATTGTAAAAAGGTTTTCAAAACTTCATCCTCAGAGGTGTGAGTCATATTATCGAGTTGTTTAAAAGGAAAAATGAGTGGGGTTTCTGTTGGGGTTTGTAGGAAACAGCCAAGCTGAGCAGCTTATTGGCCAAGGACATGGTCACTTCTCAGCTCAAGGGAGGTCTCAAACCCTGTTCTTTTCATTAAAATATTAAGGGAATATCTATGCCTTATATGCAAGAAAAAGCTTTTCAAATAGCTCTTAAGAAAGGATATTCTGTACAGTAAAACACTTCCAATGACAAAATTAAAAGCACAGACATACTGAGTGCTCCTTTCCTTCTGTAATTTCTGTTCTTTTTTTCTTCCCTGAAGTACTTCTCTTTCAGTAACTGTCAACAAACTTTTTGACCACAGGGCAAATATTTCTGGACTGAGCCAGGATGTATTTAGCTGGTATGAGCCGACACTGTAAATGTAAATATACAGTTTGGGTTGGAATTGTTCCTGAGCACAGATAGGTGGGTGACCCTCCTGAGTCAGTCACAGCAGAGGGTTTTGAAAAGGCTGTGTCCTGAGTAAAGTAATCACGGCTTAATGGTCAAATCTGATGGCCATCAACAGAGAACTGGAATTGAAAAGCTGAGCCTTTTAGCCCAGTTAGCATTTGGTCTTGGATAACATGGTTAATTAATATAGTAAAAAAAAACATGCAACTTTATTGGTTTTCCACATTCTCCTTCTCCTCCTTCCCCAGTTGCAGCTCCTTGCTCTGTTTCTCCCATTTGTCATCTCTGTAGCACCAGGACCAGTTCTGCTCCCTCTGCTCTCGACTGATCCTCCCCCTTGCACCATCTCTGCCAGGTGCTTGGCTGGCTGCAGGATGGGTCTGAACCAAGGGGACATCATGGTGATGTGATGAAAACCCACCAACCTTTTTGAGCTGCTTGGTTTTCTGCAGAAGGCAGAAAATCACCTCCCTCTCTTTGCCAGCCCTTCCTGCCTCATTTATACTGATCCTGCCCAAAGGGAGAGTAGCTCAGAAGCAATATTTGAATTTAGAGGCCTAGTGGGGAATTAGGAAGCAATGTGACTTCTCAGATTTGTGCATTACCATAAAGAAAGGGCACAGTCTTCCTCTAATGACATTCTATGTGCATAAAGCAGTGTCAAAAGGCTTGTAGTGCACTGACAAGATCATCACCATTGTGCTTCTCTTCTTGTTCATAGTTCAGTGTTGGTGAGGCTGGGGGATGAGCTGCTTTGTCCCACCTCTGTGTGGGAGGTGGGGCAGATTTCATGTGGGAAGGAGGTTCTTGTAAAGTGGTGGGTGTTCCTGATGATACAGAAATACTTGGTGGCAGCTTTGGGGAGGTTTTAAGGTAACACACGCTCCACAACCTGCTGCAGGTTCTTTTCCTGTGATTGTTGGAGTAATGTGATGTGTGGAGAAAGAAATTTGTGCTTGGGATACGTGCTGACAGAGCTACATCTGTGTCATTTCCACCTTCCATGTACACCCCCACATGAGTCTTCCTGGTAAATAATTCTCCTTAGTAAAACTGCCAGCTTTTCTTATACCAACAAGTAAATGAATGAAATGTTGTCTGTTCTTAAAGAAATGAGTTAAGATTTTGAAAGCTGACTTAATTTTGGGCACGTGCCACTTGTTCAGCTGTGGGATTTGGGGTTCCAGCCTGGGGTAACAAATATATCCCAAAGGATGTATCAGTCAGGGAAAATGAAAGGAGAAGGGAAAGGATTTAAAAATAATAAAAATTTGGGCTTTTTTAATATAAATAGACTGGAAATAGTCACAGAGAGCTCAGCATAGAGTGTGATCCCAGCCACTGGAATGAATGTCTTTCTAGTGGTTTCAGTGGAAGAAAACTATGTGTGGTAATGGGGTTTTGGGTCTGAGATTTATTTCTGCTCATACATACATCAGTGCTTTTCTGAATTCTTGAACTATAATTTAAGGTTAGGTTTTAAAACTCTGTTCCTTTATTTGCCAGCCAACAACATCTGCTTCTACGGGGAATGCTCCTACTACTGCTCCACAGAACACGCCCTGTGCGGAAAGCCGGATCAGATCGAGGGGTCTCTGGCTGCTTTCCTGCCTGATTTGTCTTTAGCTAAAAGGAAAACCTGGAGGAACCCCTGGAGACGTTCCTACCACAAGCGCAAGAAAGCAGAGTGAGTAGTGGTGAGCAAAGGGTTTGCCAACTGCAAGAAGTGATAGGAAAATCAAATGGTGCTGCAGTTACTGCCCTGGCCTGATCTAAAGCATTGAGGCTTAGGAGAGCATCAGCATCTCTTCAGCTGGTCCAGCTCCTGGAAAAGAACAGAGAGCTCACACTTGCAAGGATCCCCAGCTTATGGTCCTGAACCAGAAAGGACCTTCAGTGGCATAATTCCCTCATGGGACAGATACATCTGGTGGCTTTGACAGGATGCAACAGGACCTGTCTAAGTCCTATCAGAGGAAGAAAGAATCACTGCTAACAGCAGCCCGAAACAAGTCTCAAATGTTTTCATCATATGACTGATGGTGCAGCTGGTCTTCTGAATCTTGAAGCTATTAGCCAGATAGTTTTCAATCTTGTGATTTTCTTCCTTTTTCATCAGGCACAATCTTTATCCATAGCCTGCATTACTGGATGCAGCCTGAAGAATGTGCTGCCTTTACCTGACCCTGACCTCAATCAATCATGATACAACTAGATCTTTGTAAAATAACTTTTTTTTTAATACTCTGTGAGCTTTGTGTGTCACATAAAATATCAAAATATTGGCTTTTCCAGATGGGAAGTTGATCCAGATTATTGTGAAGAGGTTAAACAAACACCCCCCTATGACAGTGGGACCAGAATTCTGGATATAATGGATATGACAGTTTTTGATTTCCTAATGGGTATGTTTCATCTCTTTCAAAAATTAAATGCAACATTTAATTAGAATAAGAACCATTTCTTTCTGCACTGCTCTGCATAGCTCAGCAGTTTGCTACAATGTCTTTGAAGCTGCATTTACTGTATGTGCCTTTCTAGATGATTATGAGAAAATACAGATTTACATGGTTATGTATTCCCATCAGTTCAGATTAAAGCAACAAAGATCTTCAGAAATGCAGAGTGATGATGAATGCAGGTCAGGCTAGTCGTCTTCACAACAGTCAAGAGCTTCACTGTTTACTTTAGTGAGTGCTTTACCATTGCAGCTTATGGCTCCTGCATGCACATGCAAGGGCTGGTTTTTATTGGCATGATGTTTTCAACCTGCAGTAGTATTCACTGGTCCTCAGAGAGCTTGAAAATTCCCTGAGGCACAACAGCCCATCTTCTAGTATCACACACTTTGGTCTTTCCAGAAAAATTTTGCTCAGCAGACTGGTTGATTTCTCTGTCCTACACAGCCACCATGTCTGGGGAGCACTGGGCTTCTTGCTGAACTTTGGTATTGCCCTGAGCTGCAGGCTCAGCAGCAACCCTGAGTGAGAACAGTCCTTCTCTTTATTCCACAGGTAACATGGATCGACATCACTATGAAACCTTTGAGAAGTTTGGAAATGAAACATTTATTATCCACTTAGATAATGGAAGAGGGTAAATACCTTTAATAATCTTTCTGGGGAAAATAAAGAAGACAAAAGTCTTTAAAACAGCCTTTGTCATGTTTTTGCTCTTATCTTCAAATAGGTTTGGAAAATATTCCCATGATGAACTTTCCATATTGGTGCCTTTAAACCAGTGCTGCAGGTACGTTTCACTTCTGGAATTGTCTTCCATTTTATACAGCTTTTTCCACTAGCAGGACTGAAATGTTCAAATGAATCTCATATTGCCCACCCTGGAAAGGAGATGTTATGATCCTGCCCAGGGAGCCTGACCTGAGCTAGTCCTGGGTACTGGCACTAACACGTTAAGTGCTTTGTTGAGATCAGGACCTTGCAGGAATGTGGCTGTGAGCTGTTGTGAGAGGCTTTATTATGACAAAATGCCTCTCCCGTGGAAGTCAAGTTGCAAAACTTCCCCCAGCTTGTTCAAGTGCTTCACAGCAGCTTTCCATGGTGCCCAAAGCCAGGATTTTCAGAGAGGACAGGTGACTGTTAGAGTTTCAGCTCTGCCCAGTTGGGACACAGGGTGAGCTCTGTGTCTGCAGAGACTGGGGCAGCCCTGGGGGATGAGGCAGCAGGAGCCTCTGCTGCCACCAGCCACACCCCAGCTCAGTGCCACATTGTGCACTTCACTGCCAAGGTGACCCCATGAATGCTGCACCAGATCCAGCTGGTGCCTCACCCAGCTGAGGAACATGAAGGCTGTCTGCATTTGACAGTAGAGCTGTGCTCCAAAACCTCTAAGGGCTCCCAAAAGTCACTGGCCAGGTGACAACACCAGCTGCTCAGTAGGACTGTGCCAGTGCTTGCTTCTCATCAGTTCAGGTCACAATAAGATTTTTATGCTGCTATGACTATGCTGACTATCAGCCTTTTAATCCTGTCAAGATCAATAGTGATGAAAATACTAATTGACTTTTTTTTCTCTCTCCTTTTTCCTCTAGAATAAGGAAGTCTACCTATCTGCGATTACAGCTCTTAGCCAAGGAGGAATACAAACTCAGTCTCTTGATGAAGGAATCTTTACTAAAAGATAAAATAGCTCCCATTCTTTACCAGCCTCACTTGGAGGCGATGGACAGGAGGCTGCGGATTGTCCTCAAGGCTGTCAGTGACTGCATAGAGAAGGATGGTTATGACAACGTGGTTGAAAATGACTTTCACACTGATGTTAACACTGTTACGACCGAGAGGTAGTGAAATCGCAAGACGACGTTTTTACCAGCAAAGAAGATTCAAAGAGGGAAAAAAACCAAGCAACACAGCAAAAGTCTTGCAAAAGACTGTATGTGCCACTTTGTGAATTCAGTGAATTCAGAAATGAGATATAATTGTTCCCGAAGTAGGTAATGTGTAGACTCTGCAAAGGATTAGTTCATTAAGAAGAATAAGTCTAATGTGATGCTTTTCATTAGTTCCTAAAGAGAGATTATGAAAAGATTCAGAGAATACTCAGCTCACTGACAGACAACAGTCTGATATCAAAACTCCTCCTGTCCTTTTTGTATAGAAAGGAGGCCTTTACTTAAGATTTTGTATTTATATACGGTATATCTATGAGAACCCAGACCTACCTACCAAATTTAACTAAGAGGGACGGCATAGTTTTGTGACTCACACTTTAATTTGTGGTGACGGTCCACTTAGTATTTTGTGTTAACCCTTTAAGTGCTCTAATCCACTGCATCTTATTTAAATTGAATGCTTTCCCCCCTCAGCTACTCAGCATTTAAAGGGTTAAGGCATTATGAACTTTTAAAGGCAAAAAATAATAATTATTATTATACTAATAAATACAGTGGTTACCGGAAGGGAATTTCACTAATTGTGCATTGACAGGAATACTTGAATGTTGGTTTTACAAAGTGATGTAAAATGACAAGTTGTACTATTTGTCCATAAGGAGGTGGCAGCTCTTACCTTTCTAGACTATCATAGCTGAGCTGCTACTTTTCAACTTTGCTTTTGATAGTTTTGTGTAAATATATACATTTATGGGTAAAAAGCTGCTTTCAGCAGCTCTAGGCTTACTTTTGCAGCATTTTTGTGGAATTGTTTGCAACGTGGTAAAAGTGCAATAAAGATATGGCAAAATGTGTAGCCATCGTGTCTAAAAAGGTTCATTTCTCCCTGCAAAACTTGTTCAGAGCAAAGCTGGACACACCAGCAAGTATTCCAGAAGTAGGTGTTTAAATGGTCATCCCATTTTTGTAGCAGCAGCCAACTGAGCTGAAGTAGGGAATTGATCAATGTATGTTACAAGTCTGATAAGAAGCATGGTGTTGAAAATGGCCAGTCTTTCATATGAAGGCATTGTTTTGACTCTCATTTCAGCATCCCTTCCTCTTGCAATTATATCTGTAGGAGCAAGCTGAAGAGCAACACCTCTAAAAGATTATGGCTTGACACACTGCCCAGGGGATTTAGATACAGCAGTTCCTTTGACTGCAGCAGCAAATACCCTTGCCCAACCCAGAAAACCCCAGTCTAAATTGTCTAGAAATATGGTATTCTCAACCAAATAGATCTGAATCATTTACAGCTGAGTTCATGTAATATGTGTGGAGACTTTTCAGCCCAAAAGCAAGCTATAAATTGAACAAGTAGCTGTATTAGACTTGTGAAAACATGGTGTGGTACAGAAGGAGTCTCTCATCACTCCTTTGGGTGAAGGAGAGAGTTTATGATGATATTCATCACAGTTCTAATTCAAAGCTGTCATTTGTTTCATTTTATGTCTTTCTTCCCAAGGATTTATAAACATATACTTTAAAAGCTTGTAGCCAGATAGACTAAAATGTAGACATTTTAGCATATTAAAATTATGAATGAGAGGAAGACCTGCTCTATAGTCTTATTCACTTCTTAGGTTGATATATTACCACTAAAAACATGTTATTTTACTGTTTCACTGCCCATTTCAGATTCCCATGACTCTTTCATAGATGGCATAGAAAGACAACAGAACAGATTATACAAGTTTCCAGGAGCTTGGAAAATGGCTTGGCTACCCCATGGCTTTTTTCACTTTCCACGACCCACCTACAGAAACAAAGATGTTTTCTCTAATGCAGCACTTGCACTGCAGCTCTCTCCCTCTTAGCTAAAAAGCCTAAAACTTAGGATTTTTGAAAGGTGAAACGGGTGATAATATCCCTGCTTTAACCTTAATGCCTGGCTGTGCTTTTCCTGCAGGTGCTGCTTTCTGCTTCTGGGGTCAGGTCAGCCAGGGGCTCTGGGGTTGCAGACCTGCTTTTCCTTTGGAAAGCAGCACTTGGCAGCCTCTTAGCTCAGAGAAGAGCAGATCGAGCAAAGGTCTTCGTTCTTTAGAAGCTGGGTTTTAGGTCAGGAGCTCCTGGCAGAGGGGCACAACCTGAAGGTCTCTGCAGAAGGCTGCTCGTGCTGTCAGGGATATAAATTCACAGTTACGAACCTGATTCTGAATTCCTATAAGCAGGATTTGTAGTGTTTGTATAGAATGATTTACTAAAGGTCACTCATCCTTGCCATATTATAACCAGCTCTGTAGGGTCTTTGATTTCTTTCCTTCCCTGAACTTTGATGCTTCCACCTTCTTGGGGCTAAGATGGCATTGAGAAGACTCTGTACAACCCAGGGAAGGACAAACCTCCAATTTTGGGGTGCATCTGCATTGCCCCAAGACAGAGATAGCAACTGGCCTGAATTTCTTCTCCTGAAAATGTAATGGGTTTTTTGGAGCCTTTAGGAAAAGGGTGTTGCTCTCCTGGAATGAAATACATCCTTCTCCAGGCAATGAGGGCAGCAATAAGGGCTTTCTGAGCTACCTCAGCAGTTGATACAGTTGGAGGGTGCCTTTGCAGAGGGAGAGCTTGTTCTTGGGGGTTCTTGTAGGGGAACACAAGGGGCTTGGGGTGCAGGGATTGTGCACTTTGGCACACTTGTGACAGCAGCTTAGCTCTGTGAGAGCTGGTGGCTCGGAAAGGGCTGTCGTTGTGCATTAGGTCGGTAATCCATGAAGCGAGGAGGATTAGCATGACATGGAGCAACGTCTCTTTAGGAGTCCTACATACCTACCAGACAAAAAGATTCACTCTAAGAAGATAAATAAATGTCAGAATCAAACTGGCTTGTTTCTGACTCTCAACAATGGGTGCAGCAACAGCACTTAGGCAATAGCCTACCCAGAAATCTGCAGTCTGTCAGGGCCATAACGTGTGCAGCACAATAAATACAGTGTGCACAATAAATAACAGATAAAAATAGCTTTACATGTAAAATCACCTAATTACAACTGTCTGACAGCCTAAAACAGCATATTGTATTCTCCTGAGTAATTCCAATGAGAGCCTGCTTTTGTTTTGCTGTTTTGATGGTTTTTAAGCATCAAAGAAAATTAATATAAATTTTAAAAAAACCAAACTCTCATTGTTTAAGTATCACTGTTGTGATCAGCAGTACCAGGCAGAGCCCATGCTGTGTATACACACTGCAAGCCTGAAGGAGATTGCAATGTAAGCAACAGCAAGAAGGCTTGTGCAGGAGGAGGGAACCTGGGATTTCAGCTTGACTGTTGCCTTCAGGTGCTGAGCTGAAAATGAGCTTGTCTTGTGTGAGTGTTGAAGACAGAAGTGTCCAAAGGTTATTCAGGTTCCTGCCAATGGGTCTGTATATGGTATCTGTAGGTCCAAGGGGGATGTCGTCCTCTCTTCCATCACAGCAACTGCATCATCCCCTCAACACATCCAGACTCCACCTGATGAGCATCCCTGCTTCAAGGCTTTTGTGGCCTCAGCCCAAGGGTATTGAGTTTCCAAGTTGGAGCTGGACATATACTAGAGCCTTGATAACCTGCATCCTGAGGGAGCAAACTGTCTCCAAGTACTGAATGTATGACTGCAAAATTAATTTCCAGAAATTATTCCAGGTAGTGCTATGGACTTTCTTGCCAGTGGTTGTTTACTAAAATATTTGAAGCTTAATATGCAGAAAGAACATGCACAAGGAAGATTCTTTTTCAACTGTAAATTGACTGATAGAAATGTTGAGTTTCCTGGGACAAGTTCTCACATGACATTTCAAGTTATTACCAGTTAGAAGCTGCTGGATTTCTTGAGATGCTAAAAGTGATTCATAGGTAGCCTCCAGCTGTAACTGAATCTGTGACCAGATCAAACTGAATTATCTGCTCACTTCTACATTTGCATTGCTGAAGTACCAATCCAATGCTTTGAGGGACTCTCTAGAAAAAAAAAAAAAAAAAAGAAAAGTGGGTCAAAAGACCTGAGAACTGAGGTCAGGCCAGCTCTGGTCATGGGTGAAAATGAAGCATAAGCAAAAAGGAGGCTGTGGATTTGGCAGTACCAGCACCTCTTCCTCTAATGCAGGGTCAGAGGAAAAGTCTGTGTCTAGAGACTGTCTTCAAGAGCTGCTGGAGTACATGGTATCTTGTGCTCCATCTCTTCAGAGATATTAAATGCTTTTAAATTAAAGGTTTTCCATTTATACAACTTTGATGTAGTTAACCTGAAGAAGTAAGGGGATTTTGAGCAGGGTGAGAGGAATGCCCACATTTGTATCCAATCCACTATAGGAAGACTTATGTGCTGAAAGATCAGTTCCTCTCTTTCAAATGACCTCCACAGACAATCAGCCACTGTCCCCTGTCAGAAGTAGCATGTGTTATGCCTAGAATCTTGCTCAGATGCAGGCCCAAATCCAGCAGCTTGCAGATGGAATTGGCAGCTTGAGCTAAAGCAGAACAACTTGCAATTGGAAGTGTCAGATCAGAGCACTCTCCACTTCTGAGGCTGTGGGAATCTGGGTCATGTTGTGCCTTGGCCACAGTAATGAATGACATTAAGAGCCCTACATAAATTCCTCTGCCACTTCTTCTGCTCACTGATTGACAGACATATATACAAAACCACCTACTTGCTTTAGTTGACCCTGACATCAAAATACATCCCAGGGTGATTTAAGATAGATCCTACCCAGAAGACAGACAAATTAAAATCTCATCCCTCCAGCTGCTGGTGCTGTATTAATGCCAGCCATGTGTCACTCTAGAGGTGGTTGCTGGAGTCTGCTGAAATACAGTGGTCTCTGTACATCAGTGTTGGTCGCTGGAGCACCTGGATGCCTGCAGAAGGTGCCATAAATCAAGTGAGGACTCCAATCTGTGTTCATCTTCTGAGTCCTCATGCACAGCTGAATGACAAATGAAAGTTAAAGCTGTCAGTAAAATGTAAGCAATGCAGCTGCAGAAGCCCAAGAGGGGGTAAAAAAA